AATTAAATTAAATTAAATTGTCAAAAGCCACAAACTACATTTTGTGTTAACCTGGCCTGTATTTCCTCATTTTCACCCCAAAAACCTGTACTTTAAGGTAATTTTATCACTCATATTTCAAAGTGTCAGTGAAGACACATGCTGTCGGTAGGGGACAGGCAACAGGGAGGATCCATTTTTATTATGGTTTGCTCTGAGGCTTATGATTTTTAAAGGCCTGAGCAACTGAATACTGCACAGCAATGACTCAACCCACCAAAATAACAGTGCTTTGTACGTCCTCATTCTCCCAGTTAAGACATAAACTTACTTTGCAGCTATTAACAACACCAGCGTTGAAACACACGGACACCTTTACTGTCCTGGCACAGACCAGCACAGTAAGACACTGAAAAAGAGCCCAGCCTGGGATGTCCAAAAAAGCCTTTTCTGTCTGTTTTTTTTTTTTTAAAAATGTTTATATTTTTTTAGAGCTGGTGGTGTGGTGCTCTCACACACCAATATACAACCATGGGAACTATAAATCACATTTTGAAAGATGTCAGAGAGATGCAATCTTCCACGGTTTAGTCTGTATTAGTTGTCTGAAGTTTTCTCCTGAGCCTTCCGTACAAACTACAGCTATTTAGAAATATATCAATTTAGAGGCGTTTAGTTGCTTTTCTACTGCTAAGCCAAATCAGATTTTGTATTGCAATGGTTTTTTCCAGGAGTTCATAAACACAGGGATTAAAACTTCTTCTGAGCCATGCATCTGCTGCCAAACGATGCGTGCATTGCCTGTATAATGGGGAAAACAACTGTGAAAATTCCTCTCACACCTGGCTGTGATGCACAACAAAGCTCTTGGATGCTTCAGAGTGAGGAAAAGGGCAGCGCCGATCCGAGGACAGTGTCTGCTCCATACCCTATGTCAGGGGCTGCAAGCAGGGCTGGTCCCTGGTCCCTGCTACTGCCACAGGCTGAGGGGACCTGATGCTACGCTCCATGCTCCAAGGATAGGGCTGTTGAATGCTTAACTTTTCCTAGCTAGGTCCTTTTTCGCTTGCAAATATCTTCTGGGCATGCCCTGAAGACCCTGAGTGATTCAATTCATGCTCTGAAGCCCTGCAGAGTTGAGCTGCAGTCGGTCTGCACGTTTCAATGTGCTTGCTGTATGTCAAGGAGACAGATGCCGGTGCACAGTGGTTCTGATGCCATTTAATTCACTGTCTTGCAAAGGTCAGTGGTCCCATACACTGAATAAACTGGCTGCCATCCTGAGAACGTAGTGAAGAGCCCAAGGGAAGAGACTGATGGTGAATTATTCACAGCCTCATCCAACTTCTCAACTTCAGTCTTTCGAAATAACCAACACAACCCACACCAGCAGCAGCATGAGCCCAGTGACCCCAGCCAAGGGTTTCCTACAGAAGGGTGCTTCAGAGGGGGGTGTCACCCAAAAAGGGCACCTCTGTCCCCAGAAACAAGAGGGACCAGGAGCAGAGGCTCTGGGGGGGAGATGTTTCCATTCAAAGGGATATTCTGGGTGTCACAATAACCATGTGTGGGCCTTGGAAAGCCTTGGATGCATCTGGAAGACAGTTCGGACAGCAAAGCAGAAATGTTTTTGTTTCTTTTAATAGCAGTTGAGGGTTACAGTCACTACATTTAATTTAAATGAAAAAAAAAAAAGAAAATAAGTAACCGTTGGTAGAGCTTTCTGAAAATACAGATGGATACAGACCCAGACCACATCAACCAGCTGTGCACCAGACCCACGCAATCCCAACCCTGCACCTCGGGCTGTGTAGGACCCTGTCACTGTTACTGTCGTTGTCACAGCTTGGTCCATGGTACCAGCAGCATCAGGCTCCAGTGCCCACCAGCCCAGCACAACCCTTTCTGACTGGGATGGCAGCAATGTTACATGAATGTGCAGTGCCCACAGGAAACCACAGCACAGCTTCATTCTCAGTGCTCGGATAACACCTCACAGAGCAGCTCTTCCTTTGGGAACCCTGCAACGCCCCTTGCTTTGCAGGTCTTGTTCTCGTGTGCTTTCATTAGTGAGCCTGTGGAGCCACAGAAATATTCGGCTAATCAAGTACATTTCCCAAGCAGACAACTGCTGCTTATTTTTGGGTTTTATTACAAAATGTTCCTTTACAGGAATATTTGTTGGACCAAAAATTGCTCTACTGGAAATTGTATTTGTTTGATATCCTTAGAGGTTGTTTATC